TTTCTATCTTAGGAATATCTTAGTCTTTACGCTTCGCAAATCGCGAGCGAAATCAAAAGATGTAAAAAAATACTCAATATCAAAGATTAGAGCTTATTTCTGAATTCAGACCACATTTATTTATTTAATCCTATATTGTATAACATTATAATTTATGTAAATATATCTGTATTACATTACACCAGTCATATTTTAGTGGCAGGTGGCTACTAGAAAAAAAATACTCGCTAAAAAGTGTACATATTTATGAAAAAATAAATAAATATTATAAATAGCGTGATACATAGTAAATTTCGCCGATCACAAAAAAATCACCAAAAAATAAATTGAATCGATTAATAGGATTGTTCAAATTATTTTTATCAAGGATGTAGAATAATTTATAAATAATGATTCAACTTTGCATTGGATCTATATAAAGCTATATATGTGTTGAAATAAACCTAAAAAGAAAGTAAACTATTTACCTTTTCTAGAAAAAAATGAAAAAGAAAAATAAACAAAAATATAAAAGTTCGTTCGAGCATTATTATTATTATTATTATTATTATTACTATTATTACATAAACTTTTTTGTGCGCATAATGGTTCAAATATCAAAAATTGGATAAAAATTGTCTAAAAAACAGTCAAAAAAAATAGTTAAAATGATTGCAAATTCATCACCTTTTCACAACTATCTATTAAATAAATAAATACATTGCGTTCTAAATATAAATACAGTAAGTTTCTATTGGATACAAAGGAAAATAGAACTTCATTACCTAAAAAAACAAATACGTTAAATTGTGTTTTGTGCTTTTTATATAATATAATAGAGAACTTATGTTGTTTCTGCTTCTAAAGCACTCAAACGAACATTGGTATTATAATATCAAGTTCATGCTCAGAAATCATGTAACCACCACCACCAACACTATCACCAAATGGGTCTATGTCAAAGTCTCAAGCTCAAAATATAAATATATCCTCTTAGGATTTAACCACAATCTTATTTCAGACATTGAAAATTTCAAGAGATGCAGATTGTATTTTCTACTAAGATATTTTTATGGCAGATCGAAAGCTCTAGTTCTTGGCTACAAGATAATATGTATTTCATTTCTGTAGCATCGATATTCGCGTTTAAATCTGAACGTCCGTGAAAAATTTCTGTTATAAATTTTCCGGAAATTTTACAGACGTTCGAATTTAAATGCAAATAACTCCGTAAATATCGCATATTACTCTGTAGCCAAGAAGAAATTCTTTCTTTCTATCTTAGAAATACCTTAGTAGAAGATCGCTCTACGCTTCGTAAATCGCGAGCGAAGTTGAAAATCTCAGGTTGGATTTTTAGTGAACTGAACCGAATCCAACTGGCTGTTCAGATTCAGTTCAAACTGAACCGTTCGGAGCTTTACACGAATAGTAAATGAATAAAATAATAAAAGAGTGTAGATGTATTTATCATGGTAAAAATTTTAAATAGTAATAAAAGAAAAAAGAGAAAGAGATTATTTCTTAAATGAAAAACAAAAAAAAAATATTTAGACACAAATTCTTTAATAGTAAGAGTTGTAAAAATGTTTTTTGAATTTAAAACTTTATCAGTCAGAGTATCACATTTATTACACGCGTAAAACTATAATTTGAATGATTTAAAACTTTATTGAATGTATCATATTTTGTTTTCAACGATTAAAAAAAAATTAGGTTATCGCAGCTACATGAAATTGCATATATATAACCACGAACTTTTAATCTTATGACTTGACTTTAGATTGTCATTACATCTATAACGAATGATTAAATATTAATATTAGATATTTATTAAAAAATTGATTTTTATTATAGTATTTATACTAAAAATCGGCATTACAAATATGAAATACGAGTTGACCGTATTATATAATGTTTCGATGCATATAATCACCTCTGGGTGTAAGTTAGTAGACTTTCTTTTACTATCATATCAATAAAAAATTTAAAAAATTACACGCTAAGTTATACAAATGTAATATTACAAAGTCTACACTTTTAAAAATAACAAAATAAGGATTATTTCAGTGAATTATAGATTAAGGATTATAGGAATCAAAAGAATCAAATAGTGGATATATTGATCAAGATATTTTTGGTTTGAATCTTTTTTATAATATAATTCTATTTAAAAAATACTGTGCCCCCCCGTATAATATTTATATATAGATATATATTATTTATATTATTATATTATTATATTCTTATATTATTAATATTATTAATATTGAATTAAATAATTTGAACTTAATGTGTGAAAAAATCTTTAACCCTTTCGTTCATTTGTTCATAACCCTGAAATAATAAAACAAGTTGTTTTCTAGTATGAAAGTCCATCTCATTATAATCTTTCTCTTTAATTTGAATACTTCCGATTTCCCATTTAAGCAAATCTTTATGCATTTTAGTTAACTCTTGGATCATACTTTTTTGATATTCAACAGATTTTTCAATTTTGTAATGAGCACAGAGATGGGATATTCCTGTTGCTGCAAGGGTGGCTCCCCCTGCTACTGCCGCGATTTTTCCACATTTTCTCTGCATTTTTTTTTTAAAAAAAAAAAATTAATATAATTCAATTCTTTATATATAATAGAATAATTTGAATATGATCAATATAAGCTTACCGCATTTTCTAAATTACTAGGATTGACAGAAATGGCAGCCCCAATCAGAAGCGCCCTAAATCATAAAATTTTTGTTATTCATATTATAAAATTAAATGTTTTTTTAAAAAAAATAAATATTTATACATACAATCCACCAACAATCGCAGCTCCAATCCCGGTTTTTGATAAAGTGCCTTGATTTTCTTCCAATGATATTTCGCTGTCACATCGCACTGTTATAAGTTTTAATAATATTATTAAGTTTTGAGTTGTTTCAAGAAACAGCCCGAGTCGATCTATAATTTTCATAATTTAAATATTTGAGTTAAAAAAAAAAAAAAATAGAAAATAAAAAGGATAATAAATTTCAAAAAAAAAAAAAAACTTACTTTGAAATTTTTCATACTGGCATTTGCCAAAGTTTTGGTCATTCAATTGTAATAATTTAACCATTTCATTTAAATCACGTTCTAAATTATTAAAATGTAACATAAAATGATTTTTGTGGCAAGCTATAATTTCATCGAATTTTTTATTTGAACTCCTAAGAACTTCAAATGATTTTAAGGTTACTTTCATAGTTAGATATAAATTCCGTAACAGCAATACAATTGCTCCTGTAAACTGGATTGAAAGCAAGAATTGTTAAGAAAGTTCATAATTTATTATTCACATTGCTTATATAAATAAATAAATATATAATTTTTTTTTTTTTAAAAAAAAAAAACTTACAAGATAAGGAGAATTGGGCATTAATAAATTAGGAATCAGAAACTTTATCAAAAGATTTGTAATGATATTATTAAATTTATAGTTATCATAAATAATGATATCAAATTTATCGTTATCATCATTCTCATTTTCGGTGATATTTAATTTATCGTCATCATCATTCTCATTAACATTAAGAATCTTAGGAGTTTTAGAATTAGAATTATTAGAATTGTTGGTAATGAAAAAATTAAATTGATCCAAGACCTCTTCAAATATATCATTTATTGAAATATGACGTCTTTGTTTTAGTCTTGCATTATGAAATGCTTGTTCTAATTTGGAATCTGATAATCCAAGTTCTTGACGTTTTTTTGTAACTATACTATTCAAATATTCTAGTCGTTCTTTTAATGTATTCTCTTCAAGAAATAATTTTCCTTCGAATGAATCTTGCTGCTCTAAAACTTTTTCTTTTTCGTTTTTTTTCAAAGGAGGGTCTATTAAATTATCAAAACATTGCCAAACGGTATTTACCAATTTGATGGCATTTTCCTTTTCAACGTTATTGGTGTTATTAAAATTAAAAAAATTTCTAGTTAAAGACATGATTTGTAGAAAATGTATGAAGAAGTTCAAAGGATACAATTTTTCCGCTTACATAATAGGTATTTATATTAAAGTCAAATTTCTTGACTGTCCTTTAGTGATTATTGCGAGCGTCAAATATTCCCAATTTTAACCATAAAAGCCATATATATTTAGTCATTATTGAGGAGCCTTTAATTGGTTATATCTATTTTCTGTAACATTTTTAAATGAGTAATTTTTTAATATTGTAATTTTGTCTTTGTTTACCTATTTGGATTTGATTATTTGCAAACAAAAAAAAAATGGCACTCACTAACGAAAGTTCAATTAAAATCCAAAAATGTCAACATTTCATTTGGAAACAGCTCGAATTATTGATATATTCTCCAACAACTACTATTAACGTTAACGATGATCAGTGTCCTGATAATAATTTTTCAATACTTGATGAAAAAACCGCACTTGAAAAATTAAATTCTTTGAAATCACATATAGAAGAAAAACGTCGTGAACTTAATATAACGGATTTTGAATTTCATGCGGCATTCCATGGCCCTGAAGAAGTTATGAAATTCCAAATGATGGATGTAATTGCGGAGAGAGATGCACAATTGAAAGCTTTCGATGAATTTTTTCAAAAAGATTGTAGTAATCCTAAAATTTTTGAAGATCAGACTTTATGTCCGGAGCAAATTAAAAGTATTGTAATGAAAACTTTATTTCAACAATTGAAAATTATGTTTTTTAAGGATAAGAATATTGACAAAATTGTAAGTGAAATCCAAAACTAATTTTCTTTAAAAATCCTGAATTTATTTTTATATATCTGGTTTAAAATATATTCTTATTTTATTCATCATACTTTTTTTTTTTTTTTTAGATTTTTGAACATAAATATAAAATAATCTTTTATTTATGGAGTTTAGTAAATACTTTCATCTCTATTAACAATTCAATAAAAGTTCTAAGAGAAACTAATCAAAGATTTAGGGAAATTTTAACGACAGAGAAATTTTATTTTTCAACTCATTTATCAAATGTTGAATATTGGTTGGGAGAAGCATTGAAAGTTTTGCAATTAGATGATGAACAATTTACATTAGAAAAATATAATAAATTTCAAAGTATTATCCATTCATTATTAATTTAATTTTGTTTTCATTTATCTTGGATTTTTTTTTTTTGAGAATATGATAAAAAGTTACTTCTATTTTCAATATCATTTACAGATGTCCTTCTTCAATTTTTGGAAGGAATTTCGCGTCTAATGGAATATGTACAAATCATATGGATTAAATGTAAAAAAGAAACTAAAAATTTGGAAAAAGGAAAAGAAAACCTTAAAATTAAATTATGGTGCAATGCAGTGTATGTTTTTTTTAAATTTTAGTTATTTATTTAAAATCTTTGCATATATTCATTTATGTGTGTGCATATTTTAAATGAATAGGAATCTCGTAATCTATTGTACTGGTTACATGATGAATAAAGAATTTTTAAATAATTTTGCAGTAAGTAATTTATTAACTGATTTTGTAATGTACATTTAACAAATTTTATTTTATATTTCTTTTTATATTCCTATTCATTTTTCCTATTTTGCTTTTTTCTTTAAATATTCCCTCTTTTGTATTCTTTTTGTTATGATTTTCATATCACATATTCCTCTTTAACGTTTTTCATTTTTTCACTAGGTTAAACTTGGTTTGGCAGTAGTAGGCACGGGATTTGTGACCGGAGTGACAATTCTTGAATTTATGACTTTATCAATTGAACGCCAAGAAAAAATTTTAACGGAACTAAAAGGAATGCACAAAGAATTATTGAGTTGGAAATCTGAGGGGGAGAAATTCAAATTAAAGGATTTTGAAGACATAAATCAAGAATCAAGAAATGATTTCGTTGCTTTCTTTAGGGATTACAAGGATAAGTGTAAATCATTTCGTAAGACTTTTGAGATGGAAGTTTAAATTTTTAAATGTAATACGTTATTATTAAATATTATTAAAAAGTATGAAAAATTTTAAAACCACTGAAGAGTTAAAGTTATAATCAAATAGATTTTGTATGTAAAAAATATAAGAAAGCATATTGAAAGTTTTTTTTTTTTTTTTATTAAATTATTCAACTTTTTTTATAATTACTAGAAATTTTATTTAAGTATCAAAAAAATCATTAAACGTTGCGTTGTTACATATTAAAGTTGATAAAACATTAAAAAATGATACCAAATTACTTTAAAGTCTGAAACACAACACATTTACTATAAAAGCTTCAGACCTAAGATTTAAGCGAATAATAGACATTTGAATTTTATATATAATAATTTTTGAACAAAAGGATTTTGACAATTTATTGTTCGTTTAATAGCTCTTTTTGTAATTGAGCAATATTACAGAATCCAAGGTGATTAAATTTCTAAGGATAATTGCGACGCAATAAATATATTTTTATATTAAAAAAATATATATCAATCTCTACAACTTTAGATTCAATTAAAAATGGTTATTTACAAACATTTTTTGGTTGGGTTACCTTTTTTTTCATAACATCAGCATTAGTTCATCTGGCATACTTTTCTTTTTACTAATTGAATAAATCAACTTACCATTTTTCTTTTAATACTGCAAATAATTTATTTTTGTTTATTTTTATTTTTATTTTTTTTGGAATAGGCTTATGATCTCTAATTCTTTTCTTTAAATTAATTCAATTGGATTAATATCAAGATTTTGGGAGCCAAGGAAATATTTCGATTGAATTGTCTAGCTGATGCATTATCATCTTGAAAAATATGCTTTTTTAAACCTAAATATTTTAAATATATGAGTAAATATTTTTTCAAAAAATTTTATTTATATCTTTATCTGAATTAAGTGTCCCTTCAACTAAAACTAATGGATCCAATTTTTTTCATGTAATCTTCTTGATATAAGGTTCTTTGAACTGTTTTACTGGAAACTTAAATATTCAATGTTGTATTTGTATTGAAATTTCAGCTAATGTCTTATTTCTATCCATTTTTTTAATACATTCTACTGCATAATATTTCTACAATTTTTGTCTTTTACAAACCACATTTGAAATTAGTAAGTTCTTTCTTTTATAATCAATGAAAAATTCATTTCTAGAAATAAAACCTAAGATATTATGTTTTTTATATAATAATTATATTAAAATCACTACACAAAATAAGTATCAACAATGCAGTTTCTTTGTACTTTTTTTCAATAAATTTTATATAGAAAAATCTTTACCAAAAAATATATATATATATATATATATACAAAAATAATTATCAAACGTTGTTAAGTTTGTTGTTTGTTAATAAAATATCAAACAACAATACAAGTAACCCTAAAGTTTGTAATATATTGTATCAATTACAAAAAGTTTCAGAGCTATTATTTAAGAATTGAACGAAAAATAAATGGTCTAGTCAAAATGTTCAAAAATTATTATTTTATACGTTTTAAAGTTTATCATTTAATAGTAATTATCAATAGTAAATAACAAACTTGTTGTCTGAGCATAGCGTAGGACATTTAATGTACGCGTAAGGTAATAACAAACATTTTTTTTTTTGATAATTATTATTGGTATATTATTTTCTTGGTTTGGTTAGACGGATCATTTACATTTCATTTGATATCATTTTCCTAAAAATATATCACCGAGTATATAAAAAAATTTAGTCTATTTATAGTGTCACAATTGGCACTAGAAATTTTATCTGCCCAGATACTGAATGGTATATTTATCGAATAATGTTATATTCAATACATTTAACATATATATTACACTTTTTCATTCTGACTTTTATAAATGAATATACTGAATCTATTTTCCAAATCTGGACATTTGCTCTATGCTGGGAGAGATACAACTACAATATAAAGCTCCATTGGCTGAAGGGGACAGTAAATATTCTTTTACAAAAGTTGATAAATTATTTTTTAATAAACTTTACTTTTTTTATATAAGTAAATAAATTAAAAATAACTGGCATACCAATAAATAAGCTTGTTTTATAATGTTATCTGTACTACTGTTTGTAGACTGTTTGCATATTTTCAACAAAATCATTAAAGTATAAATTAGCTATCATTATCTGAGGAATGAATGAAAAGAAGTTACAATCTAATAAGTTATTAATAGAGGGTATTGATAGGTATAACACTATTACTTTATACTGTTTATATCGCTTCATACTTGTTTATAATAGCTATAACTCAGAGGTGTGACAGCTTGTTCAGAGGCCTACAAGTAAGTACATGCCATTATAAATTCCGAACTGTGATAATCTAAATTTTTGGAATAAAAATCACGCGTTTCCTTTTCGAATTTGGAAGGCATGTAAACCCAGAGGTACGGAACAGATTTATAATAATATAAGTTAATACATATGTAATAATAGTCTCAATAAATAATATGATAAAATCTAATCAAAGATTAAGAGTTTTATTAATAATACAGAGTCTATTAATTAACTATTTCAGATATTGAGAACCATCATTTCAAGAATTATGAGTGGTCCTGACCTAGGTCCTTTATCAAGTGGGTCTGTCCTTAGGTCTTTCCCTGGGACATTCACCAAATTTGTAATTTGCATTTACAGTTGATCCGATGATATCAGATATTAATTTCGAATGTAAATCAAAAATCAAAATGAAAAATTGATTGAAAACAATTTCATTTTTAAAATGGAACGTAAATTAGTTAAAAGAGAACGCTTTTTTTTTAAAAAAAAAAAAAAAAATTATGAAAATGAGCCAAATAGATTTTTTTAGATGTTTTAGCTGTAAATTTCAAGATCCAAATGTTCATAATTGTGATGATTCAAATTTATATAGCTGT